GACAAGATTTTGTCATCATCAGGTACAAGTAATTTACACTGACACGGATATATATATACAGATTGAACAAAGAAGTCACAAATGGTATGGCTGTACCGATTGCATGGGGGGTGATGGGGGTGTTATAAAATAATATACATTCAAATAACCCACTACGTTCCGTCGTTGTCATTTTTGTATGTAAGTAGTTTTATGCTTGTGTTATTTAGTCATTTAATTCATAATGAGATAGTACTGTATCATGATGTGGTATGTGTAGCATACCAAGTAGTTATTTCATTTTGAGTTTAGACACATGACCATTTCTTGTTCACCAAAAACTTTCATATTGATATACTTTCGGGAACGCATGTACATTTTAACAACAGAGAAAGTCTGATTCTGGAATTTAGTTAATTTGCTGTTGCCTTGTTACACTTTGTTGCTGGATTTCTTTTGCAAATTTCTTTGTAACGAGGACGACCATGTAGCAGTTCAGCGATATCTGGAGTGTGTATCCTCCTTATTTTACATATGGGATGACCTAAAGTGACGTGGTAGCACATGAGCACTCGCACAGATTGCGCTAATGTGTTTTCTATATAGTGTTTAACTCTCTCAGGTTGATTAAGTTTTTCATCTGCTACGATGTTCCCCCAGAGAGAGGGGCGGTGTTTATCATCATGTGTACACGTGCCTACACTACCACCTGATGATGAGCTATTGAAAGAGCTTGTGGTTTAATAAAGAACCTTACTACGTGGTGAAAGAACCCGTTAAATCTGTGTCAATTATTTATTAGTTAAACATTGACTGTTAGTGTTAGGGTTATAATTACTCGTGCTTAGCGTTTATTATGAATAGGCCTAGCTTTTGAACAAAGACAAGTTCAACTGTGTAACTTGAGGCTAACAAAAGTAACACGTTGAAAATCTTTTCATGTTCTAAGAAAGTAAAAATGTAGTGCTGACTGAAATTGTTCGGGTATATTCAAAACCAAAAGCGATAGGAACGACCTTTTTTGGACTAAAAATAAATTATATTTGTATTATCTCAACCATTCGATTGTGCTCTTTTATCATGTGAATGTAAAAGGTATAGATAGTTTTGACATAACAGTAAAGTACTGCTTGAGCCTTAAGCAGAATTAAAATTAAATGAAATAACGTATACTTAACTCTAACAAATTACGTCAAAATCTTTATGCCTGGCTTGTGCTTATGAAGACGAATAACTTTATGGTATTGATAAGTTTAATTTTAAGTCAAATGTTAATTAACCTCATTAAATTTAAAATGTGATAGGCCCACAACTAATTTAGGCTATTCAATTTAAAATGTCTTACGCGCTAATCAACTTAAACAAAAAGTCCTAGGCAACATATTACTTTAATTGTTAATATTAAGTCTATGATGTCTATTTCTAAACCATAATTTATAGGCCTAGACTTATTCATTAAGCCTATAGCCTAACATTAGGCCTATTATTCAATGAACGAAACTAATTTTGCCGTTAGGGCAAGCCTAGACCTACCTGTGTATACTGTTCAAGTCTTCGGCGTTTGGCAATAATACTTTTGTTAATATCTGCTCCAAAACATTCTAAAAGCTTTGAAAGATCACAACTAAACTCTGATATACCTCCAATTCCTGAATCATTTGGATCCATTTCTAGTGCTGGACGTTTTACTGGTTCATTAATGTTGATTTTTAAACGATTTTTCGTTTCTTCACGATCTAATGTTTCTAGCAGACTCAGTTCTCCACTAAGGGGAGACTCGTTGTTATATTCATCTTTACCTTCATTGTTTCCATTTAAAGTTGTCTTCGTCGTATTTTTATTTTGCCCTCTTCGTGACATATTTCTGTAAAGTGAACTTTTTACTGAAAAACTTTTTTATGATTACTTAGAATTGCGGACTATTAAGAATTTTTAACTCTTACTTTAAGTCTAAAGTTTAACTATAGCCTAGCCTAGGCCTTAGTTAAATTAAAAACCAACAGACGATCAATTCTTTCTAGTCTTATAATATTTCGATATAATGATAGATGTCACTCTTTCAACAACTATAAGGAATTATTGAAAATGGTATGCCACTAACCTAAAACTTAGTTGTAGTATAAAGTCGTAAAATGCAATAAGCCAGCATTGTTTTAATCCTTTCATTTTCATATGCTTGTCTAACTGTATTAACTATTAATTCCAAAATCAGATTGATTTGATCTTTATACGTAACTTAGGTTTATTACAAAACGTTGAAAAGTTTGTATTAGTTGTTTGTTTGTTTGTTTCTTTCAAACTTTTGTGCAAAGCTACACAAACGCTAACTATGCATAACCATATCTACTAATTTTCAATTGATAGACGAAAAGAAAGTTAGCTAATAAACAGCATCCACCGACAGTTCTCGAACTACTCTTTTCTTATTGAATAGTGGGATTTTACCATCATCCCCCTTGTATCCCATCTATGGTTCCAAAATAATGGAACAATTTTTTGCGGCAGCAAGTTGCCAATCATCATTCCTCGGATTTACCGTCCAGGTCTGCTAATCACCAGGCCACACTCGGTTATTTAAATAATTGGACGTCGTCTCAGGCATTTGAAAGTTATATATAATGTTCATTATAAAAGCTATTATGTTAAGTTTAAGTTACAAGCGTGGCTAACTTCCTGATCTTTGTTTTATATATTTGAGGTGAAAATTTGTCCCCTATGCTTCCTGCGTTACACAACCTGGTTTTCTCTGCAATTGGAAAATTATTTACTAACTTTTAACACGTTTCTCATGAGCCAACGCGTGTCTTTATACTACAGTTTATTGAATATTAAAGTAAATTCAACCCAGAAACTCCCAAAGAGGGTGGTTTTGGACGTTTCTTTACGACACAAGTTGTCGTTTGTTAAATGATAGATTTTTACGTGAAATACAGCATCTTCAAGTCTCCATATTAGCTAGTACTGAGGTCTGCCCACTGGGGAAGAATTCAGTATATATATATATATATATCAATAAAGCCACATTCTCATCATCATTAATCAAGCAATTGCCAACCTTTTATGCTTCTGCTATCACCTTTTTATATTTTGCTTTCAATTGAGATACGAACGATTTCACCTACGATTCGATAGGGAAAGTCGAAGCAATACGATAGTTAGCAGTAGGATGAGCAGACAGGAAGACTTTGAAAGCAACTACAGGCATAATATTGTAATAAATTACAGTTACTGCTAGAACTAGGTAGGTGCTAGGCCTGTTGAAGAAAGATGACAACGAACGAAAATAGAAATATTTGATGACCTGCCACAAGTGACCTTCCAATCTTCACATCCACTGGCCTGGATGGGTCTTCCACTGCTTCCTCAAGCATTGGGCTTCCTTGAAGATGTTCTTTTATTCTACCACAAATTATCTTCTCT